ATATATATATATATATATATAGTATTTTTGTATTGTTTGTCAAAAACTCAGTAATATCACTTACTGTTAGGACTACAACTTCCGTTAGTAAATGTCGATGGTATAGAGTCCATGCTACGTCCTAGAGGATCGGATATATGCGAGGCATTGTCCAAGATTTCCTCTTCTGGTATTATCACTATATAAATATTAAAATATACGTGTGCAAAAAATACCTTAATAAGGATATTATTCCACACTAACGATAAAAAAAGGTTTAAGAGCTCATCATGATTAAAGTGCAAATAAATTATAAATTTGACATATAGAACGTGAAAAGAATTAAGAATTTTTAAGCAAAATAATTTGCGAGATAAGTAATCTAAAGATCTAGGTACCTTCACGGCATTTTCATATCGCTACATCAAATTCGAATAAATGAAGACATCAAGTTGCTTGTTGCTAATTTACTGTTAAATGTTGATCCAATATGCACATTATCAATAAAAAAATGTATATGTATAAATAAACAAAACAAAAGTCAGACAGGTTAAGATAATGAACTTATATTCTTTAATAAATGTAAACTACTCGAAATGAGATAGGTTATAATCATCTATTAATAATAAACACGAAGAGAATAGGTAGCGATGCCGAGACTGCCGAGAGGCGTCTCGTAAAATCAAGCGACTCTAAATTCTTACCCTGAGGATCATCGTCCGCCAGAGGTATACTATTCATATCGTCCTGAAGCTTGGCTGTCATTGTTGCCGACATTTCGACCGCAGTGACCAAAAACGATATACAAACTCACAAAAGTAACACTCGTAATACACCATAAAACGTAACACCCGATTCGTACAGGTCTTACCGTCGACTGTCCAGTGTCAGACTGCGTAGTGCGTTCAGAAACTTCGCCTAGGTCGTTCGCGTTCACACCATGGACCTAGATTATCAGAGAAGCGCGACCGGTGTTACAAGTCCTGAAAAGTTTTGACCACTCCCCGTACACTAGCGCCAATTGCTTCCACTTTTGAGATGGAACTACTATCACCACCATTTTCTGATACTGCCGATAAAATCATAGGCAGAGAGAATGAAAGTGGTTTGAGTCAGAGCTACTCAG